ACTGCCCCTTCAGTGTCGATTTGCCTGTTCTGCTTCCCACTCTGTCTCTGAGGAATCCTCTCACTGCCCCTTCACCTTTGGCCTATACAACAATTCTGTATGAATAAATAAATATATCTTAAAAAAAAAATGCTCATTCATAATTTAAGGTCAGGCAGGATTAAAAGGCAATACATTAGTTTAGGAATATGGATAAAGGTTACAATATGGGCTCTAAATATCAAATCACACCAACATATATATGTTATTTCTAAGATATGTTCAGTCACATGTAAGGTATTTACATGGATTCCTTTAAAAAGTATTTTTAAAGTTTCTTTTTAATTAAATAAAAAGCAAAATGAGATAAAACATTTATAAAGTGTTAAGACCAGGTGAGAAATCATTAAAATCAGACATGATGACAAATTTAGACACACAACACAAGGAAGTAATTTTATTTATTCAGAAAATAGCACATTACCTCATTTTCTTCTTAGAAGAGCAAAATGATTCCTCACACATCAAGTCACTTTTCAAAAAGCATGAAACTATAAATTGCTAAAATATGGTTTTAAAATATGTGTTTTCTGGATTTCTGGCCATAAGGTAAGTATGAGTTTGTAATTTACTAATTTTTCTCATTGATAATATAAATTTTATTGGAAAATTCACAGCCTTTTAATACCTAATGTGTGCTGAACTTTAAGGCAAAGATCACTGGTTTATAAATCTAAGATTGTCCTCAAATTTCAGTAGGAAAGAACTATTTTCTATATGTTAGAAGTTAAAAACAGGATCTCTCAAAGGCAAATATTTGATTTTTCTTTGGAACTTGAGAAGCTTTCTAACAGAACAAGCTAAAAATCACTGCTCTAAAGACCTACTACCAAATACTCTGGTAGTTCTTACAGCATCATAACAAAAGTACTACAAACTGAGTGGTATTTTAAGCTGCAGAACCTATCTCACAGTACTGGAGCTAAAAAGTCCAAGATCAAGTCTCCAGAGTCATGCCCCTGAAAGCAAACTTTTAATCTTCACATGATGTTTTCTTGAGTTGATATTTCTTCACAAGCCTAACTTGGTTTAATACTTTTTGTGGCAATCCAAGTCTGTATATGCTGTTTTTCAATAGTGTGGTAATTCCTACAATACTTCAGACTTTTTTCATTATTATTATACCTGTCATGCTGATCTATGACCAATGTTTGCTGTTGCTACTGTAGCTGTTCTGGGGTACCACAAACTGTTTCCAGATAAGACATCCTCCTTATGGGCCTAGAACACTTAATTTGAGTGTTCTCATGTCTTCACCAACCAGTTAATCCAATCTCTCTTCCTTTCCTCAGGTATCCCTATTTTTTGAGACACACAATATTGAAATCAGATCAATTAATAACCCTACAATGGCTTCTAAGTGTGCAAATGAAAGGAAGGAAGAGTTGCAGATCTCTCATTTCCATGAATGATTAAGCTCAGTAAGGAAAGGATGTCAAAAGCTACAACTGGATAAATCTGGGCCTCTTCTGCCAGTCAGTCAAGTTGTTAAAAGGAAAATTCTTGAAGGAAATGAAAAAGCGCTACTTCAGCGAACACATGTATGATGTAGTCATAAAGCAGTCATGACATTCCTATAACTCAAAGTCTAATCCAGGTCAAGGTCCTAACTCTCTTCAATTTTATAAAAGGTTGAGAGAGGAGAGCAAGCTTTAGAAGGAAAGCTTGAAGCTAGCAGAAGCTGCTAAGAAGCGAAGCTGTCTGTATTACATAAATACAGACCAAAACTTAATTTTAATTCACAAGTACTGGCTTCTTCTCATTTGTATCTGACTGGTTCCTTCAATTTTTCATTGCAAAGGCATAACCGAAAAGGAATAAAATACTGCATTTAACTTTCAAAAACAAGACTTCACGTGGCAACTTTATACTGAACTAAAGATTTTGATCTTTTCCTTTAACATATGGACGTTTTATAAGAAAGGACTTTTCGCCGAGTGCAGCGTTAAATAAGTCTTATGATCATATAATAATGTTCGTACGGTTGATTGCAAAATCTGGAAACTATCAAGTGCTTAACATTGACATTTGTGATTAACGAGGCTTTCTATGAGGACAACTTCAGCAAGTACCAGCCGTAAAGGTTTTCATCGTACAGGTTAGCAATATTCGTTTCGGTAAGTTAATCGGACGTGCACTGCCAGCAGATCTGAGCAGCACTTCGACGACAAGGAGAGAAGGAGGGCACAGTGTACTAAGAATTCCGCAGAGGACGCAAAGACACGCCCAGACTCATCTTCTCTAAGTTTGTGACCCCGGAGGCGTTGCGGGATCCCTACCGCCCGTCTACGATACAGTCGGGCGCGCCCTTGGGTTAGCAACGAGGAGGGTGCACTGTCCATCCCCAGGTGGTCTTTCGCCGAGAGCCCCGACCCTGGTCCCGAGGGACAGCGGGGCGCCCCGGGGTTAGACCCCCTCCCCGCCACCCAGTGTCGGACGTGGAGGGGCAGGCTGGGGTAACGAAGAAGGATTCGTCCTTACCTGTGCCGGGACAGTGAGCCTGCCCTCGGACGCCGCGCTATTCACACGGCCGTGGTGCCACGCCACTCCCGCTCCTGCCAGGGATATGCCGGCCACTGCTGCCGCCCAGGGGCCGGGGACCCGCAAGGCCCGCCGGCTGGCAGCGAAACCCCGGCGCAGTCTTCCGCCCCAGGCTGCCAGTCGAGCGCCCTGAGTCGCCGCCGCCGCCATCTTTGCGGAAGCGCCCCATCGTGGAACCGTCTTCGTCCTGCTTCCCACGGCAGAACTCCCGCGTGGCTGTAGTTCTCGCGAGATCCAGGCAGCTACGGCCCGCCGCGACCCTCGCTGGGTCCCTTGTCCCACCTTATTCTTGCGCGTTTGGTGAGGGACTTCGGGGTCGCCTTCTGCAGTGGGGACGGGATGCCTGAATCTGAACACAATCCTATCAGGCCTCCCTAGTCCTAGCTAAGACAGTACCGCTTTTTCTCCAAGAGAAGTGTGTCATTTTGTGGGTCAGGAAGGGGGACTTGGGAGCTTGGGGTTCTGGAGAGGAAAGCACTGATCGAGCGTGAGCCGGTCACGTCTGAGAACTGTGATAGTGTATGTGACCTGCCTTTCCAGCGAGCATATTGAGAGGAATTCTACCCCTGAAGTGGTTGGAGTTTGGAATGGGAAAAATTCAGCATATTCCTGAAAATTAGATTTACTCCAAGTTTCCCACGATTACTCACATAAGAACAAAACTGTGGTTGGATCATGCTATTCAGAAATCTACATAAGCTGCAGACATTTCTCACAGGTTTTTTGAAGTAAAATCTTAGCTTGGTCCAGTCTCTACTTCCGCCCGCACTCCCACTCCCCCTTTAAAGCTGTTTTCCTGTCTTAGTTAGCAGCTAAGGAAACTTAGCATTTTATTTCTAAATTGTGGTAAGATGTACTTAACACTGCCATTTGAATCATTTTTAGACGTATAATTTAGTGACACCGATTACTTGAACGTGTACAACCATCACTGCAGCAGAACGTTTTCATTTTATGAAACTGGCAAATTAAAAAAGAAAAATTTTATTAATTTAGCCTATTCATTCTTTCTAATCCTCATGTTCTAGAGTGCTTTTCGTTTCTGCTAAATCGTATCCTTTTGGTGACATTTTCTTGTGACCTCACAGACAAAGGTACTCTTGCAGGCAATCGCTATTTGTTGAATGATGAATTTAAACTCTGTCCCAATAATGTGTTTGATGTTATCTGTTCCATCTGGGACCAAGTCAGGTGTAGCAATACACCTACCCCATGTCCCTGTCATCGTGCCCACATATGTTTTTTCTAGTGCTCATACCACAGTCCTGACAGTTCCATTGATCTTAAGAAATGATTTCATTGAGGCAGATGACTTTACCTCTGATCTACTATTCTAGGTCTTTATTTTTCAGAGTAAGTTTACTTAGTAAACTGTTCAGCCTCTAAAATGTCATAGCTTAAGCTTTACTTGGAACCAAAGGCAATGGTGCCAAAAGTCCTGAGCATAAAATCATCACCACATCGAAGTTTTGTAAAACTAACCCCCAAATAAATAAATAAATAAACATGCCCCATAACTAATTTGACTACCTATTTCCTTAGATCATTTGATCATGATTGGCTCTTAGTTCTCCCTTGGTTTTTCTTAGCCAGCTTGCCTTGGTGTATCTATACTCTGAGCATTCTCATGTATTCCCTTGCTGCTGAAACCACTTTCAATGTATCTTCTAGGCTGGAAGTAAAGTAGTTAGGACCCATTGTGTAAGCAGGCAATAGGGTTTGAATCTGGCTCTACCAGGATGATCACGGTGATTTGGGGGCAATTTAGTTAATCTCCGAGTCTAAGTGAGTAGCCAAGAACAACTCTCTCACCGTTTGTAGTTGAAGGTTTCAATGAGACATTCTTTAGGATGTGACTACCACTGCCGGGCACGTGATAGTCTTACTACTCTTGTCACCTTTAAGATTTGGCTCATTCCTGCCCCCTGATCACAAATAAGCTTTACTGAAACTTGATGACCCAGATCATCAGCTTGTCTGACCCGAGGTTTTCCTGCTCATTTGTATCCAGTTTGACCTTGTGGACCTCTGGCCTGTTTTTCACCTCTGCTAACTCTTGGCATAGTCCTGCTTTTTTAGATTATTGATATCTAGTTTATTTTTGTCCCCTGGTGATTATAGTACTTTTAGGATTTTCTTTGACATCCTGGATATATTACTATTATAGCTTATTCTTGATTCCCAAAATCTATGGTTAAGATGGTATATTGCTGAATTCCCAGATCCTCCAGCCATCTAATGAAACCCAACATCTATTACTTATGTCCCCAAGTTCCAGATAAGTATATACTCCTATTAGATCATTTGACACATTTAAAAACATTGTATATTTTTTCCACATTTTGTCATCCTTATAGGTGACAATATCTTATTTTTATGTTTCTTTAGCACCTAGCCCAGCATTCAATGAGTGAAAAACTAATTTTACATAGATGACACAAATGAAACTTGGCAAGGGGGGGGGTTGTGTGTATGTGAGGTGCTTGTTTCCATTCTTTGGGCATCAAACATAAATGCATTATTTCTTTTGTGTAATTTATTTTCCAAGACAAAAATCTCATTTGAAATTAGTTTCATTTGCTGAAAATCTTTGAACCTACTTGGAAAAAATGTGCTTTGTAATTAAGTGTGTGTGTGTATTAGTCTCCAGGCCTCTAAAACTGTCATTAAGATTCAATGTATTCAAACTTTTGCAGAGGAAACAAATTCTTATAATAGAATCAATCTCTAACCGACTAACCATTCTAAGTATGAAATCTTCCATGGCAGCTGCTGACATTCATCTAAGCACATTACTATATTGGTCTATTTAGGCCCCAACTTTGCTCATTTCTTCATCACCAGCTGTAGAGAAAGTCCTTGGCTGGTATGTATTTTCAACCATGTAGTTTATATCAACTCTCAAATAAGGAACTGCTTTAGAAAGCTATAAGAGCTGTACTGCTTTAAATGATAAAGAAAAACAATAGAAACACATATAGCTTCAAAATATTGTTCTCCTTTTATACCCTGTCTCATAAACAGAGACAAAAGCTATGTGGAAGAAAAGGGGCTTTACTTTCACTGGAAAGACTTAAGCTTGAATTTCAAAACAATGCAAGTTGGTCTTAATTACTGTACTGCACAAAGAAGTAAGAGTCGGTAAGTTAAAGCAGCCACAAAGATATCTAGAGAATGGAAAGATTTGCTTTGGAATTTGGAAGGTAAGAAAAATTGGGGCAATAGGATGGAAAAAGTATGGATGAAAACTAAATACAGTATGTGTTTATTTAAATAGCTTGGAGCAGAAGACCAGTCTTGAGTAACCTGGGGCCCACAAGGGACAATGCAATAGTTTCCACTAATATATGGAGCAGTGTTTAGCTCCTTGTCCCCTCTAAAAATTTGTCTTTGCAGCATTCCTGCCTTATTTTAGGGATCTCTTACTCCTGTGTCTGATCTCCTTGGTATCTCAGATACCCCCAACCAGCGATTGCCATGTGTCTGTCCAGATTTTGTCCTGGCCTTTCTTACTCACTATCCCATGATTTCTCCAGATTATCTTACTCCCTGCTGATAAAACTGATTTTCTTTGGATTGCTGTTCTTGAGCAAAATAAATCATTTAACTTATTGAAAGCATTCATTTTATTTTATTTTTAAAAGATGAGATTATTAACTTAAAGGTATTATAGATCTTAGCATGTTTATGGAAGCTAAATAAAAATTATTCTCCTGAAGGTTGTTTATGGTTATATTGCAGAATAATGTGTGTTCAAACTGATTATCTTAGATGGATAATTAAAAATGAGGGATCTAAAAAGATAAAGAGGTTCAACTGAATGTTGTAGTGATGTAGTAGCATATGAATGGACAGTATAAACAGCCACTGCTTGTAATAGAGGTTAAGCTACATTTATGCTGGATAATTGTGTAGCAGAGGATATGAGTCACTCTCAGAGGCCCTAGATGAGTCAAAAGAATTGCTAATTATGTCTTTTTTTTGTGTAGCCATGGGTAAAAATATCTGTTTATCATTATTGATAGCAGCTTGTGTAAAATGGGTCAAGATTAAATTTTATTGACAGTGAAGAAGCTTTGCCAAGAGTTGCATTTTCACTGTCTTTCAGATCCTCCTCTGCTCTTACTCTCTTTCCATTTCTGTCATTACTGCACACTTTGATGATTGGAATGGTCTCTTCACACATTCCCTGGCTTCCAATTTTTTTTTCCTTTGAAGCATTCCAAAGGTCAATCTTTCTAAAGCATCTTTTTAACCTTACTTCCATTAGCTACGCGATTTAACCTTCCCAAGCCTGTGTCTTGTTGGAAAATGAGATTAGTTTTAGATGATTTTTCCATTTCTAAAATTCTCTTTGTCTACCACTGCAAAGTGACTTTTTTTTTTTTTTATTCAACTGGCTGGACCGAGTGTGAAATGTGTGCCAAGTATAGTGTAATTCTTCAGAGATGCAGAAACAAGTAGAACAGCTTCCCTCCTAGTGAAGGAGAAGCTTTCCACATATTGGATTATGCCTCAGTGCTTAAAACTTTGTATATCATGTTGCCAATTGTGTATATTTCTTAAATCTACATATTAACAACTAGATGTTAAAAAAAATAAAAATGTAAATCATGAGATGCAGATGAAATAGTATTTACAAAATAAAATTTAAACTTTATTATTAAATGCTTGCTCTCTTTAAAATTCTTTACTCTCTAAAAGCTTAATGTTTTAGTGAGATCAATGTGACTATGTCAGTCTTGTTAACTTGGAAAATCTTGATTTAAATTTCCTGAGCTAAATAATCAAAAGTTATGTTTAGTTAATCAAGAGATTAGTTTTTAAGGCCTGTTGTAGTTCAAAAGATATGTCACAAAAATACAGTAACTCAAATGGCAGGAATGAGTGTATTAATGGAAGTAATGAAATCATGGCACTATAAAAACTTCAGTGTGCATGAAATGAGAGATAAAATGATGAATATCCATGTACATCTAACCTGATTTCAGCTACTACCAACTCTTGCAAAGTCTCATTTCATCTGCACCTTCTCTATTTTCCCCAACTAGATTATTTTGAAGTAATTTTCAAGCTCGCATTGTTTTCTTTCACACATTTCACTATCTATTTTTGAAAAATGAAGACTTATAACAAAACTCATCAAATATTTGATTTTG